AAAGACGATTTAAACAACAGACTCACTACTGACTCACTTTGAACCCAAGACGAACATTAAATATTCCTTATCCCATCCCACTTACCTCCTAAATACCATTCCTCTCCTTTTCTCCCACCCTCAAGCCCCCCAACAAAACTACCCGTCACTTCACTACCCAGACTCCCAATCCCCATCCCTGTACGGGGGAGAGGGGTCGCAACACACCAGAAGACAACCCGACATAAGAAATATGGACGAAGAGTCTCGTTAGAGACAGGCGGATCACAAAAATACACCCTAGATTCTGTTATCTTCTGTTAGAAGTAGGGGCGGATACTAATGAAATGCTATTTTTTTCTTTTCACTTTAGAACACGGCATTTTGTAACGAAATCATTTTATGTTTTAACAAAACGAAATGACCCATTTTTACATGTAACTTTCTTTCATTTTCCATCGATTTCCACTAATAAGTCATTTTTTATCCTTTTACGTAATTTTAAATGCATTTTCGTTGATTTCATCGATTTTAACATAATTTTAATGGTACTTGCTTCAAACAATATTTACGAGGTGCAACAAATGTTCACCGCCGAATTTCTGAGTAGCCTATTCTATTTCTCCGCCCATGTATTGTAATGTCACTTGTGAGAACTATGTAATCTACGGTTCCTGTGACGCCTATCGGCGCCATTATCAGCTTCGCGGTTTCGCGATAAATAAAAGCAGAGATTTTCTTTTGAAGAACAGTCCAAACCAAAAGTTTGCAAGCTCAGTTCACTTGAACAAAAGAAGAAACTATTTCCAAGTGAGGACTAAACAAGCCCGATTTGTGAATTACTACTATGGGTTACCGTCGACCAATGGCATGGGGCATGCTGACGAATCACAACCGCGCGAGACAAACTTAAGACCTGAGGGGGGAATGGCAGCTATGCAATCAGCACCTACGAGGTTAGCGATGCAGCTAAGCCGAAACGCTCCGCAGCACAAGCAGACGGTTGAAAGAGCTGACGCTCACTCTCACGCATGCCAACTCAAAGCCTGTACTTCCTCGCCAAGAGATGCGTCGAACAAACCCTACATCAATCACATACGATATAATTCACCTCAGCTGACCTAAAAAATAAACTTTATACACGAGTATAGAGCATAGGACCGCAACATTCCTTCACCTTTTCTGAGAAAAAGATGAAGACTTTAGCCCGAAATCTTCACCAGATGAAATCATAAATCCTGATGGACTTATGCCCCACCGCCACAACACACACACGAGCTAACAATAAAAATCTAAGAAATTTAATTGAAAACAAGCCCAATGACGTGTAAAAGCTTTCAAGGATAGAAATTTGTTGCATCTCCGTTACTCTTGAACTGTCATTCAAACCATTCGCAGAAGTATTGCATGAGAGCGCAAGTAAGAATACTTGGGTTGGAACATTACTGTTCAGTCTGGGTTGAAACCATACTCTGACGTTGGAGGTTTGTTTTCGGAACGACTCAAGCAGGATCTCCTTCTCAATCTTATCTCTACGAAGCCTAGAATCCACACGAGAGGACGAAAACCGAGATAAGTGAGAGTACATGGCACATAGTTTCGCCCGATGTTCCTTACAACGAATCGACGCTCATCTTACCCGCTATTATACATTTGAAAACGAGTTCTGATCATAATGCATAATACTACTATGTAGCATTCGGTTATATTTTTCTAAACATAAAATCAATTTATTACTTTCTTTTACAACCAAAAAATCAAGTTCATGTTTTTCAGAGTTAGTAAAATTATCTTGCTTTACATTAGAGTCAGAGTAGAAATGAAAAGACAATGGTCCTTCTTATCAAAAAAATGATACATACCTTTCACTAATTTTTTTTTTTAAAAAAAAGAAAATTATCACGAAAAAACGTTCGACCATAGTAAAATTTCGTAAACAAATGCTCTAAAATACTACTCTGGAGATTTTTTTTGGAACTTTTCTTGTGTACCTTCATTATGAAAGTTTTATAAATGCCTTTTATAACTTTGAAATAAACGTTGGTTATTTATATTCGGCGTTTACTAATTTCAGACATTTTCGCCATATTATTTCTCGATACTTTAGAATAATGTCCCGGCGCCCTGTCTCATTGCGCTGAGTAGTTTTTCATGCACATAAACTTCATAACGTGACCCCATTTGCACTTTCTGCAACACACCTCTCGGAGATTTTTCTTTAACAAAACGGTCGTGACTTGCGCTGAATCCCAATATACCTGGTGTACCAGACAAACAAGTAAGTGCAGATAAAATAATGAGCATTCAGGGTGCAATTCATCCTCCCTTCTTTACAAATCAAAAACAAACACTCGCTTTGTTCGTTCTTCAATTATTTTCCATATTAACCCAAACTAGAACTGTTCTTCGAAGACAGCTATTCTAACATTTACGAATGAACCAACCGAGATCCTTGCACTAAAATGCATTCAACTGTGCTTCTTTTGTTCTAAAAAGGATGGTATTCTAACCTGAATATACTTACACGGCGGAAAATGTTTATTTACTTTATTTTTCGTAAGTCACGTACCTATGAAACAATTCCACAATAAGAGACAAGGTTACTTATTTCGGGAGAGTAGAAAGCCCTCCATCTTTACGTCATCATGTCTTCTCATCGACGAACATACCTACTCAGTTATGAGCTTTAATCAAGACCCTGCAATTTACCTTTTAAGGCCGTAAAGCGAGAAATTAAAATTCCAGCACTTTGCAACGAGTCCCGTAATACATGTGTGATGCACTAGGTTTTATTTCATACCATGTCGCTTTTAACTAATAACATTCACAGAACATTACTGATGGCCAGACACGACAAAATTAGTCTATTTAATAGAAGAGGGACACGTGTTCAAATCAGCAGACAATTGTTCAAATCAACAGACTTCTGTTGCCATTCAGCTGAAAGAGAGTTGAAATCGGACGTGACTACTGTGTACCTATTCGCAAGTTCTTGCAACTGCAACAGTTGTTCACAACATATATAACTAATTTCTCGTGCGTAGAAACTGAAAGAAAACCATGCAATCACTGGCCATGTGAGAGGTGTTTATGGTTGCTTTAGATAACCAGGAACTCTGAAAAATACAAAATTGCTATAGAAATGAAATACACATAGTGCTATTTTCCAATGCGCGCAAGAATTTAAAGAATATTATGCAGCCTCCGGTCACGTGCGAAGTGTCGATGGTTACATTAGCTACCTAGGAACTCGGAAAAAATTAAAAAAAGTTGATTTTGACCTCAAAACGCAAATAGCGACTGTGCAAACGCAAATAGTTTATCCGTCTATTGTCATACATCGCGTACCGACTGAATTCTCACAATCAATGCACCACCGCTTGCAACACAGCTGATATGATACTACAAGGCTCCAAGGAAGAGGGCGTTTTCCATACAGACTATTTTCGCGTCGTTTTATTGAACCGCAACTCTTTTCTTTTTTAATTCTTGGTACTTAAAGAGCTACTGTACTGTACTACGTAAATATACTGTGTCATTGCATATTATACAAGAAAAGTTTATTAGTTGTTCTTGAGAAGCGTGCCTGCTGCTTTTTGGAAAACCATTTTGTGGGTATCAATCTTCGAACTTGTTTCACTAATGTCCGACGAGAAAATATTAAATACTTCGATAAGTTTAAATTATTTTGTAATTACTAAACCAACTTTCATACTTTGTTGCAATTATAGAACATATAGTTTTGTTACGATTAATCAAGCATTTACATTACAAAAAAATGTACATTTCGTATTAATAACATGCGAAGTACTCTGATTCTCTAAATCGTTTTCCGCAAAACTGATACTGGTACCCGCTGGGTTTTTTTTCTTCTTTATTTATGGGCCCATGTGATAGGAAAGGTTGGCGACCGCTGAACTAGACTATAATGTGGCATTTCCCGGCCTGTGACCAGTAGCTTTGACTAGAGGGAAACCGACACAGTATGAAATACACAAGCTGTCAGCCGTAGCCTTCCTCCCTGGCCGAGCCCTCGTCGGGGCGGGCGCCACCTGCCAGCGGCGGCGAGGCGACAGCGTGGTGACCTTTACAGCGGCGGCGGGGCGTAGGCAGCATAAACAGACGGGCACGTGCCTGCCTGCCAGCCGCCAAAGCAGCACTTGCGAGAGGCGCCGGCTCCACCACCTCCGCCGCGCCCTCGCCTCTCCGGGCCCCGTCGCGGTCCCGGTTCGCCACACCTGTTGGCGACCGCCTCCGCCCTGGTCAGCAGGGAGCCTCCGCCACGGCCCCACAGTACAGCGACCGACCGCCCACCCACCCCCGCCCACTCCNCCCACTCCCCTCCCCGCACACGCGCCACCCGTCAACTGGTCGCGCACACATCACTTAGCACACTCGGAATCATTACGGTGGAAACGCCTCCTGCTGCATAATGAGGACAACCTTTAAATATAGATGTGGTCGCTTGTTAGCAGGCGGCGGCCAATGAATTCAAATGCAGCGATGGAAACGTGCAAACAAATATCACTACGGAACACTAGAGTTCAAATTAAATTTGGCAATAACTGCAAAAAACACGTACGGAGGGCGGAGCAAAAAAGAGAAAGTAACATAAGGTAATGTTTGTGTTGTGCTTTTGGAATAACTAACCATACCTGTACCCATGGTCTACAGTACATTATTACACCGGGTAGAAAATACATTATCTATTCGAGAAATGCATGCTTGTTAAGTGCGAAGAATTGTCTTGCATAACCTAACCACAAAACACAAGGACATGGCAAGAGAATGGTCCACATTCAAAATCATTTCTGCACTGACCTTCCGTCTTGTAAATGACACTTGAATATTCTTGTGAATACGAGTCTAATGAGGTTTCTTAAAATTATAACATGACTATAGACAGAACAAAAACAATAAACATGAATTCCGTAAACTGTGAAGCAACTGCTGACACTAGACATTCGATTGCTAAACAACATATAGAAGCACAGTACAGAAAAATCATGAAAGATACTCACACTACCATTCCATATGCTCCTTCTCCGATGTAAGAAAGGTTCGTATAACGAGGGCCCACTTCAAATACTTGCCCTCGAACAATTTCCGCATTGGGGTTCCCTGCAGGAGCACTTACTCCTTCCGCCGCCATTTTGACAACTACCTTGCGAAGTGAAAGCTTACGCTACCCGCCACAAGAAGCGTTCCGTATTTTCGATACTCACTTGTTATGAAACTACAGTGCTGCTGTCGTGGTTAGGTTGAGAAATACTTATTCATGCGCAATTTGCGTGTGTTTGTTGGTGTTTGTGTTGTAGTTTGTTTGGTAGGGCATTAATTAGCTGCATAGTATATTTGTGAGGCGAGTGTAGTTCATCATGAATGCCCCTCCCACATTCGAATCATTTCTTCTATATGAAGGAGAAAAAAAGTAAGTGTTTTCTACCTGACGTACCTTGAAGTCCTAACCTAACCCATTCACTTAACCTTTTTTTTGTTAACAGAATTATTAAAGAACAAGATACGAAAGTACCCAATGCTGCTATTTTCACTATAAATAAGGAAGATCATACCCTAGGAAACATGATCAGAAAGTGAGTAATCATATGTCTGTGTTGTAATGTGTTATAAATTAATGGATGAAAACCAGAAAGGTATAAGTGACATTTTATAAATTCTTAGCAAACTATTTAATTAAATATCACTGTGAAGTCGTAGTGCTTTGTTTCATCATCGAAACCGCAGCTTTTTTTCATTTGTTCATTTAAATCACAAAATTACATTAGCACTGAAATAGAGCTTAATATAAACAATTTTTTCAGAATTTATAAAGTGTCAGTTGAACCGTTCTCGGTTTTACCCATTCAAACGTCAAATATTATCTTTGTTTTATTTTCAGTCAGCTTTTAAAAGACCCCAATGTGCTCTTTGCTGGTTACAAAATTCCTCATCCATTGGAACACAAATTTATTATCCGTATCCAAACAACATCTGAAATTACTCCCCAAGATGCTCTTTCTAGTGCAATCACAGATTTAATCTCTGAATTGAGTCTTCTAGAAGAAAGATTCAAGGTAATTTTTTGTTTTGAAATTTTACAAGGTTGTATCATCTTCAAAGTATTTCATATTATATAACTAAAATTGAAAAGCTAGTTGATTGTTGCAAAATGTAGTCTCATAGTGTGAAATAAAAAAAATTATGTAGGTAATCAAATCAGGGGAAAAGTCAGTTTTCTTTTTATTAATACTGTAGTACATAATTTTTTAATTTCAAATAAATTATCCTTTTTTTTGTTTTGTTTTTAGGAAGCAATCAAGGAGAAGAAAGATGGTTTGGATTGAAAAGTAACCAGAAATATGTTGGAAAAGATTCCCATTGTTTTGATGTCACTCGTTTTATTGAACAAAATGTGATACAAACTTTGCCCATGTGTATATATTTATTCCTTTCAAATTTGTTTTAAAGTGTAATAAATTATTTCATGGTGAAAAGACAATGCTCATTTAGTGTTCATGTGTACATTGTAAATCAGTGATTTATAGATAACAAGTTTCATCTACAGAGTCATTCTAACAAATTGATTGTTCACAACGCTTCCTTTTCTTATTGAACTAATATGCTGTATTAGGATATTGTGAAGTATTTTTAAAAGTTAATAATAACCAATTTTCCCATTTTCAAAAAAACCCTTTTATTTTTAAATCAAAAAATTGTACATTTCCCTTATTGTAATTGTCGAACAGGAGAAAATATATTGTTTACTAAATAAACAAATTGAAACACACATTTCATGCAGATACGTATATATTGAAGAGTTATAGCAGCAACATCATACTTCTTTCCTGCAATTTTAGAAGTCATAGCAGGTCAAATTAAATTCAGTTATATACAATAGTCTCCTGACATAAAGTATTCAACATAAAAGTTTAAAAACTAGGCAGCAGGAAATTTTCAGGCCTATGTGCAATAAAGCCTGATGCCTGTGATATTTCTATCCTACAAAAGCTCTACATAAATAATTAATGTATATTAACTACTAAATAGCAATAATTTATTACAACTAACAAACTAAAATTCAACAAGGCAACATTATAACATGACTTAGTAAAATAATTTATGAAATATAATTTTTAACTTTTAGAGCTGCATTTCTTTACATTAAATTAATGGAAACTCAGGTCTATGTTTTCTTACTCTCAATAATTATTAGCATTAAAAAAATTGCATTTCTTCCCATTATTATTGTTATTAATATCAGACGTTTATGTAAAACCCTGCTTTGTCAACACTTCATATGATATAAATATGGAAGATCTTTACTTTTAATCTATCACATTTCACATAAATATACATCACAGGAACTACTGTACATTTTCAATAAGTTATAGTCTAATGCATAAATTACATAATTAACGAATCTGTACAGTACAAGTTAATTAGAAAGTGAACAGGTACACAATGTAAAGGAGTTTTGATGCTCATAAACAAGAGCAATTTCAAGATTCTAGACGAGTAGAAAATGTCAGATATACATAAAAATTGTGTACAGCCAAGCAACACATTTCCACATAGTTTTAGAAACTTTGTGATCAAATTACATTCTGTCCTGATATTGTGTATAAAACTACACCACCATTTTTCAGTATGTACATTTCATACAAAAATAGGTCATTATATATAATGCAAGATGTGTAACATTGTCACATGTAATAGTTACAGTAATTCATTAAATTTAAAACTGCAAAAAGGTGTCCACAGAAATCAGCTTGAACTTAAAAAGTTTCTGCATCATCACAGTCCTCAGTGTTATGTCCAAATGCTGCAATACAAAAGGGACAGATAAGCTAAAGCATTACGAAGACAAAAGCATTGTATGGATCTACAGAAAAGCACCAAAAGAAGCACTAATTACATCTTTAAAATACTTACTTTCACAGATATCACAATAAGGTCTGTCCTGGGTAATTGCCCGAGATCCTACTGTGTGTTTATTATTTGAAGTTGGTGGAGTGGGTGACCCTTGGGCCTGACGAGGACAATCTTCTGTGTCGTGAAGATCAAACTGATCGCATATATCACAGAATAATCGGGGTGGCACTACCCTTTTCGTAATTCCCTCCCTTAAAAAAATACAAAACCAGAATTAAAATGATAATCAAAAGTGTATTGCTCATGTAATGAGAGGAAAAATTCTCCACACTATATGAGATTTTTGAGATGGAATTTTAGCTGTAACTGATAATATATTATAAATCGCTCATGTACTACAATAGTGTCACAACTCAAAAAAATATGAATATTGAGTTAATGCACTCTCCAGAATTGTAGATCAATCTACCTTCCAGCAGCATATCTTACAGTACAGAATTCCACCAACAAATGACAAAAGTGTGAATGCCAGAATGATGCATTTCAATACAAGGTGAAATTTCAAACTCATTTATCTCAACACCTGATGTTTTGGATTGTGCCAATATTGCAGCCCACAAGCAATATGTTCCTATAAAGGCCAATTTTCATATTTAGAACAATATTTAATAAGGTCTAAAGTAAAAATTTTAAGACATCTCGTATTGACTAGTCTATACTTGATTTCACAAAGACATTTTTCAAGAAACTAGAATAGGCAGAAAAATTACTAAATTATTAACTACTGTACAGGTTTTACTATTTGAAGTTAACCTATCTAGAATGGGTTCTTTACTCTTAAGAACTGTACACAAGGGTTGACTTTTTTTGAGCATTTTTTAAAATTTTCATTATTGTTCAATCTTTATACTGAAAAAAGATCTTAAAAGAGAAAAAATGTACAGAATAAGTATTTCTTGGAAGATATTAATTTGGAAAGGAAAAAAAGTCTCAATAGGTCAATGAGGAGGAAAAGTTATTACATTAGGTTTTGTTCAAATAGAATAGGGAAGATCTGTGAATGAAATTTTTACCACTTAAATGATTCTGTTATGGAAATGAATATATGAATATGAATGAAACCTTGAGATAAATTAAGTGTTTTGGTATAATTAAGAGAACAGGAGAAAGAACTTTTGACCAAGAATAGTGAACTGTAATGAATATTATAATACTCACAATTTGCTAATTGACTAATTCTAACTAGGGGAAATCAGGTTTTGGCATCTTGAAGCGAAGTGAGCATCTTCAAATAGAAAAAAAATATTTTTTTTCTTACAAATTGAGCTAATTGGTGAATCTTTAGATCTGAAGGCATCTAGGATTGGAAAAAATGTGGTGCATTATATTTGCAGGTCACATCAACTTTAAGAATATCATTTTAATTCTGATTATCTAAGATTGTTAAGAATGAGTGTAAGGAAATGAGAAACAGGCACTTCAATATTACACTTCCTAGCACATCTTGACAATCTTAAAAAAATATTGAATTTTAAAATGATATTCTAAAAGACTTCCACTTGATATTTGCTGTTGTTTTCCTCATTAGATGGGGTGGGTAGTAAAATACTAATTGACCCCAAAATAACAAAAACAACTACTCAAAATATCCATTAGATGAAATTAAAATTGTGAAGATATTTTTCACTTTACTTACTCAATGAGATCATTTGCATCACTAGGTAGAATACCCATTTCTAGTATTTCAAGTCGAGTTTTTAGAGCATTATTTTTCTGTTGCATGTCCACAATCACAGAGTTAAGAAAATCAATTTGACTTTGAGCTAATTCTTTTTCTTCAACAAGTTTGTGATATGAAGAATCTGTAAAACCAATAATTAACCATTCAAAACTTGGTGTATTTTTCAGCTTTTAAAACATGGAATATTTCATCCAAATAGTGGATCTTACCAGTACTGTTTGCATTTGCTTGCGATTCAGCAACATTTGTATTCATCTCTGACACTTTCTTTTCAAGCTGTCCTTTCTCTATTTCTAACTTCTCTAAAACTGATCTATACTGTTTGGCCTTCTCTTTTTCTTCCTGTAACTTCGTAATCTGAAAATGTAAATCATTCAATATTATTTATTTTCCTTAAATAACACAAAGGTATAAGCAAAATAAACTGGTTCAAAAGATTTTATAATCACATCATTTAAGAAAATTAAAAATTACCTCTGCCTTTTGCAATTGATATTCTTTTTCCTTCTGAGCAAGATTATTAGTGGTTGTTTGGAGCAAAACCTGTAGCTCTGAATTCTCAGTATCTTTACTTAGCTTCAGTTGCTCTTCCCTGCATCAAATTCAATACAATTTAAACATCATTACAAAAGAAGAATGAGAACTGAACTTCATCCACACATAAATGATTAAATGCAGCAGTTATAATAAATATTATGCATGTAGTGTGTGGTTAATTGCAAGCAAATTTAATGCTAAGAAATGTAAGAAAAGAATTCCAGAAAAAAAATTACAAGTTAAAGTATACATTTAAAAAACTCTTTTATTAAATGTAAAAAAATTTAAATTTGTGACTTTTTTCTTTAAAAAATTTATTCTAGAATTATTTGTAGTAAATTGAGGTGCATAAATTCAAAGGTAGTGTTGATGAAACCATATTTCTTTTAATTTAGGACAGTGAGGAAAAATATTCACAGCAGCCTATGTCTGTGATGTGATTCAAACCCAGAAGAACCCTTTAGGTTGAGATGCAAGTCACTGGTGATTCTCAGCTTCCAAGTTTGGTTGAAAATAATTATTAAAAATTAAATTTTAGTCAAAATTATTTATGGATTCTTATCAAAATACATGCACTTTTTAAAATAGTGAAACTGATGATAAAATCTATGGAAATAAAAAACTATATTCAACAAAGAAGGGAAAAATGACCTACCTCATGCTTTCTGAAACACTTCAAGGCCTTAGAGGCTAGTGTTTAATCAATGAAATATTGTACCACTAATTTCTTTCATGTTCAAAATATAATGAGTGAGAGATCAAAAACACACGAACTATGTTAATATGGAAACTTTTACTTAATGGCTTTTAGTTGGGCTTTTTTCATATTTTTTAAACAGACATTTTGAGATAATGATCATGAATACAATTTTCAGCACACAGTGTATGTAAAAGAAGTTATATTTCAATTTCTTTTCCCAATTATTAAAAGAAAATCATTTTCTTTATTTGATTTTTATTTAAATTGCTCGTATAAACCTTTTTTTAATTGATTGGAGAGTGTACTTGCCTCGTCACAGCCTCTGCAAGCTGCTGCTTCAGAATGGATACTTGGCTTTCAAGGTCTGAAATTGATTCTGTGGTTTTTTCCAACAATGTACAGCGCTCAGAAAGCACAGTCTGCTCACCAGAAGCTGCTTTAAGTTGAATCTCTAAAGCATTTGCACGCTGTCTCTCCAAATCCCTGAAGCAAAAGTCTTTATTTAAGCATCCAAGTTAATTTACAAGCTCATCTGAACTTTTAAAACTCTCAATAAATTGTCAAAAATTAATGTTTACACTAATTTCTACTCACAGAGTTTTCTTCAGTTCCCCAACAAGTTCTGCTTCTCTTTGAGACGATTTGAGCTTTCCTTCAAGATCTTCCTTATGCTGATCAAAACTCGCCTTCAAACGGTCCACTTCTTCAGTCACAATTAGCAACTTTTTGTTCTTCTCCTCCAGTTGGCTGTCAACAGCTGCCTTCTCTTCCACAAGGGCAACCAGCTGCGTTGTGGCATCTACCAGCATACCACTTGTCTCTTTCAGCTGTTCTTCGGCCAATTCTTTTTTTCGTGTAGCATCAGATAGTTCTTGCAGAACCTGTTGCAACTTTTCCTCTTTCTCAACAGAGGACATATTTGTAGAGGCATGAGCTTCCTTGAGGATGCTGAAGTCTTCACTGACTTTGGCCAATTCAGATTCTGTTGTTTTGATCATTTCTTGAAGTCTACATCTCTCCCCTTTTTCTTTCTCCAGTTCTTCTTTCAAACCAGAGAGTTTGTTGTCTTTGTCTACAATTTGGCTTTGAAGTGTAACATTTTCTTGCTTTGCTTTATTTAACTGAGAGTTTACTTCTTCCAAACCACCTGACTTTTCCAAAACAGCATTGTCTGCAGCAGATTTAAGTTCCTGGATTTTCTGCAATTCTTTCAAAGTTTCTAAGATTTGAGCATCTTTTTCAGCCAATGAGATCCCTATTTGCTCTTTTTCTTGCTTTAGTTTAGCTAACTCTTCAGTAACAGATGCAATCTCAGCATCTTTCTCTCCGACAGCTGATTCTGCCACTGCTAGCTGCAGTTTCAAAGCTTCAAGTTCCTGTTGGTGAGCTAACTTGAGATTGTCCTCCAGTTTTTTGCCTTCTTCCAACATTTTTTCTAGCTTAATTTTCATATCTTCTTCATTAGCATGAAGTTTAGAACAGTTCTCTTTTAATTCGCCTTCTGCTACTTGTACTTTCTGAGAGAGAACTGCCACTTGCTGATTCAGTTCTTCTTCTCTCTCTTTGGCTTCCTTCATAACTTTATTGAGTTGCTCTTCCAAATCTTCAAAGCGCTCCTCACTCTTTCTGAGTTTCTTATTGAGATCTTCACGAGTTGCTTCAGCCTCCTGCATTGTTTTCTCCAGCTGCTCTTTAGAAGACAATTCTAGATTGTGTGCATTCTTCATGGCTTCCTTTAACTGCTGCTCTAGCTGCTGTTCCCTTGATTCTGCATTTTTAAGTTTCTCCTCAGTTGTTTGTTCGGAAAGAGAAAGTTTTTTCATGACCTCTTCCAGTTGCTTCTGTAACTCTTGTTGAGTTTTTTCAGCTTGTTCTGAGACCTGCTGTAATTTTTGACGCACAGCTTCTGCATCTCTGTTGGAAGTGCTCAGTTCCTCCTTCACTTTCTCTAATGCATGCTCTTTCTCACGGAGTTCTGAATTCAATTTGCCCAGTTGCACTGAAGAATCACTTGAAGTGCTCATTAATTCTGAGATGTCTTGCTCCTGAAAATTATTTGTATTTATTCATTTACTTAATACATTTAAAGACAACAATAAAATAATTTAGCCTGAATTGGTGCAATTTAGAATATATCAGAAAATACAATGTTTTTAAGTAGCGTAAGAATTCAAGAATGTCTGTTCTTTCAGTAAAGTTAGTTTATGTTAAATAAAAAAAATAAATAATATTTTTGGTTAGTTTAAAATGTAATAAATTCAATACACATGTTAAATTGCATAATTGCATGAAATGGCACTTTATATAGCTAACATGGTATTTTATGGTGCAGCTTTACATCCCAGTTTATCTGAATAAATAAAGACAATAAAATTAGCGATGATTATTTTGTAATTCTTTTTCATTCCTCTTCTTTATTAGTAAATTGCAAAAAAAGAAAATCTCACCACATCCAGGGGGGTCATGGGCCCATGTTTCATGCTAACTCTAAACCCAATATTAACTACTACTCCTTACTTCAGTTTTACATTGTTTAGTTCTTAACTGTGGAATAGACAATGACAAAATGTATTACACAATATTTTTTACTCTGGTAACAATTTAAGTTCTTTCATTAAATTAGATCAAAAGGTTTAATATAATTTTTCAATAAATCTTGTGATACAAAACAAATTACCAGTTTCAACTTCTGAGCATTTGCTTGCGCAGTCTTCTCTTCTTCAGCTGCCAATTTCCGATTCAGGTCACCAAGTTCCAATTCAAGACTCTTCACTTTTTCATCAAGTTTCACAGAATCTGCCTGGGTATCATTTAATTTTTCATTCAGCACTGCAATCATATTGTAACATATGTCATTTAACTAATTATGTATTAGCAATTATTTAAATGCATTGTGTTTACTAGAAAAGCTTCGAAAGTGAAAATTAATGACAAATGTAATTTATTACTAGATTACTGATTCATACAGAAAACCTACTTTTTACTGAAAACTTACAGCATCAAGTCTTGTGTTAACCTCTTTTGTAAACTAATTAGTCAACATACGAAAGCCATACAAGGGATTCCAAAATATGGCACATTTTGGCATAATAACCAAGGTTTTTGTTGTTTTTCTTTCCATTAGCAAAGACCTCTATTAAAAACAATATTAAAAAATCTATGTCTAAGTGTATTATGATAATTCTACGATAAAGTGGAATTATTACTTAATTCAATATCCATGTTTACACACTGTTTTAAAATACTCGCATTTCCAATTCTTTTAGTAATGATATCCACTTTTTGTACACGACTCCTCAGAAAAAAGTGATTATGCAAAAAGTCAGAAATATGTAATATTTTGAAATGCACTTCAGGATTAAAAAAAAAAAGAAAAATTGGGAAACCTTAAATTGAGAAAGCACTTTATTATCTGTTTGTATTCTTTATATTTTATGTGAATTGCACATTAATATTGATTTATGAAATATTTTATTCTATTTTCAGTACAATATTCCATCATATAAAACATTTCAAGCATTTTCTACAGTATGTTAGGCCCTATTTTGGATTTCAGGAAACAATAAGAAGCAGAATTAGTCATTATTTAAACAAAACATGTTTTTCTTTTTTCAAGGATGAGAGAAGGAGGAGAAATGAATACCTTGGAAAGATAAGTGCTATTTCAATTAACCAAAAAAAAAAGGAAAATTTACCTGATATATCCTCTGATTGCTTCTGAATAAGAGAAACTTTTTCTTCTAATTCACTTTTCTGCTTGGATACTTCATTCTTGAGATCTGTCACTAGAATGTCTTTATCAGATAGAGCTGCTTCTGCCTGAGTTAACTTAACATTTCTTTCTTCAAGAACTTTCAAATGAGCGACACGTGTTTCTTCTTCAGCTGCTTCAAACTTTTCTTTTAATTGTTTGAGTTTTTCATTCAGTGCCTGAATTTCTTCTTCTTGACTTTTAATTTTATCCTCCATCTTACGTGTAACACCATCCTTTTGTACAATCTCTTCAGAGTGTGCTTTAGCTGCGAACTCCAGTTCCTCAGACTTCTGGAGAAGAAGGGATTGTGTTTCTTCTGCTTTTTTCTGAAGCTCTAATAGCTGCTGGTTGCTTAGAGCTATTTGATTTTCTAATTCCTGTGTCTTGGTTTTGAACTCACACTCAGCTTGAGCCACTGTGTTCTTCAGCTGTTCCACCTGGCTATCCTTGTCTTGACAAACACCTTTCATTTTCTCTAGTTCTTCTAAAGTTTTAGTTAAAGATGCTTGAGAATCTTCCACTTGCTTTCTCAAAAGAGTTTCAATGGCACGGGTTGCTTCTGTTCCTTTTTCCAGATCCTCTGACTTGAGCTTAATGACATTCTGAGATTCTTCTAGCTGCCTTCTCAGACCTGCTATCTCCTCTTCAAATGCAGTACTTTTCTGATTTGCTGCAACTACTTGTGAATCAAGAGATGTCTGCAATTCTTCCAACTGTTTCCGAAGCTTAAAAGACTCGATTTCATGAGCTGCCGTAGCATCTTTGAGCTGCATTGTTAATTCATCACGGACAGCTTCCTTTTCTTTTAGCAAAGCTTCTACAGCTGCTCTGTGTTCTTGATCAGCCTGCAAAAACACAAATTTAAAGAATGAAGTACTTCCCTTTATGAAACTGAGAAGAAAAAAACTGATATTACAACTCACGTTCATACTATACATTCTTTTTCATAAAAACTAATCTCCAAAGAAAATATGAAGAAATAAATGCAAATAAGATTAAAAAATATAAATTAAATTACTGCAATTACAATAAACAAGTACATATTAGATTTTGATTAAACGTAAGATATTTATATTCTCATGAACCTTCTTCAAAAACTCTAAGATCAGTCAAAAACAGATAAAACTGCTGACAAGCATACAAAACTATTCCGAAAATGTGGTCAAATCAGAGATGATGCCTTCTACAACTGCCCAAAAATACATTTTACAAATTCAAAAATAGAGTGAAAATTTTTGTGTAAGTAAAATGTTATATGTTAATATAAAATTTGAATGGATATGGAGGCCGAGAAAAGTTCTTGTCCCCTAGCCTCTTGGCTGCACATGCCTATGGTTTTAACTGTCCTTTAATGAAATTAATCAAATCAACAACCACTGATTGGTTGTTTCCAGGAACGTCCACAGCTGTAGTCATTAGTTCTGTTAATACAGTGAGTTTTATTTATTTTGGGAGGTGGTAGTGTTCCTCCCCCAAGATGGCGATATCTGGCTCCGCACTACACGTCGGCTTGCGGGGAGTTTTCCTTTCCTCCCCTCTTGCGGGGAATCTTCCTCAGAGGAGCACCACTACAGTCTGCTCTAGCTCTAAGCTCCAGACTGGTCTCCCAACATAAGTGGTAGAGTAGTGCATGTGAGTATGCAGAGGGTGAGGTTGGGCGAAGGAAGAGGAAGTAAAGATCGCGCGTGGGCCGTAACCCGTTCGTTAGGGAACCGCTCCGGCATTCGCCTGGTATTGATCGGATAATGAACGGAAAACTACTGATCAGAGCAGCCAGGAGCTAGAATTATCCTCCAATTTTCTTCACTAGTTAGATACCTATGTTGAATTCGGTCACCCTCTGTAAGAGGATTCTAGCGGCCGGTTGCTCTGATGGGTAGTTTTCCATGGTTTCTCCGACCAACACTAGGCAAATGCCGGAGCAGCACCCTTACACACGGACCGCTCGCGATCTTTCCTTCCTCTACCTTGTCCTTACCGGTCGGGAACTAGGATCTTGTGCCTGGCTGAGGAGGGAGGAGTGAACCGCTGTTTAGAGATACCTGGTGGGGGAAAATCCCCGCAAACTTCCTTAGATCGGCGCTTGATCTCATCTTTCAATGGGGAAAGATCGTTACCTCCCGCGATAAAAGATGCACTACACTTATTGGATTAATGACCTCAGCAGTTGACGAGCCCGGAATCAGTAATCAATTAATTCTACTCCAGACAGCGGCTAAATTCGAGCTCGAAAATCCGCCTCCTCGTGTTTTGAAACGTAAGACTTCCCGGTCAGAGTCGCCGCCTCCTCAGGATTTGAAACCTTAAGTCCTCCTGGCGAGAGACCGTCCAGTGTCTATAATTGGTGTACCTGTGTGGCGCGCTGAGCCAGGGCCTGTGCGCCGTCGCCGGCCGCCTGCAGCTGGCGGCGCAGGGCGTCCGCCTCGGCGTGGTGGGCGCGCGCCGCCGCCTCGCCCTGCGCCTCACGCTCCGCCGCCGTCGCGCGCGCGCGCTCCGCCTCCTCGCGCAGCCGCGCCGCCGCCTCCTCGGCCTCGAACAGCCGCGTCGACTCGCGCTCCAGCGCCGACGCCCGCGCGCGCTCCGCCTCCAGCGACGCCTCCAACGACGCGATGCGCTCGCGCTGCTCCGCGCTCGTCACCTGCGCGCACGGGAAGGGACGGGGGGAGGGCATTGGTGAATTGTCTCCAGGGGGACCTCCGCACAGGGTTCCCATTGGCGACGGGTCACCGGTTGAACCTCTGTACGAGGTGCCCATTAGTGAAATTTCTCCAGTGGAATCTCCTCACGGGGTTCCCATTGGCGAAGGGTCTCCAGTGGAACCTCTGTACGGGGTGCCCATTAGTGGAATTTCTCCAGTGGGATCTCCGCACGGGGTTCCCATTGGCGAAGAGTCTCCAGTGGAACCTGTACGAGGTGCGCATTAGTGAATTTTCCCCAGTGGGATCTCCGCACAGGGTTCCCATTGGCGAAGGGTCTCCAGGGGAATCTCTGTACGGGCTGCTCATTGGTGAATTGTCAATAGTGGGATCTTCGCACAGGGTGGCCATTGGCGAATGTTCTCCAGTGGGATCTCCCCACGGGGTTCCCATTAGCAAAGGGTCTCCAGGGGGATCTCCGCATGGGGTGCCTGTTGGTGGACCGTCTCCTCTGACATCCCACTGGAGGCAGTCATTGGTGAATGGTCTCCAATGAGAAAGTAGAAAAATGCAAAATAATTGCACTTATGACAACAATAAATATGCATCCCACTTAAATATCCCCACATTTAGTTTAAAAGTTTCTAACAGACTATTGTTTCAACAACACATATCTAAGAAATGTTAGTGATTATCATGTTCATGATATTACTGTCTCTACAACAATTAACTTAATGTTATTTACATTGCATTCATCTTCTGTGAGTTCACAACACAACTGGAAGGATTTTCATTTAAATAAGACACACATACATATATTATTCTCTCTCTCCGTAAAATCTCTACTGACATGAAACATGGAGTTGTAGGACATTTCTTGATAAAGGTAAGCAATAGTGAGGAACAGATGCATAGCTGGGTTATTGAACCAGTGTAGCGCATCAGGACTTCGAAGGACTCCTCTCCAATCCCTAATAAAAATGGGAGTTGTGTTCCAAAACAATTTGAAAGTATTCTGCAACAAATTATACTTCAATTGAATATTTAATTATGATTGATATGTACTGATACAGAAGATTACTCAAAATATGCTTTTATTGCCTCTTCACTACAAATCTTACATTAACACCATCTTGGCAACCATGAATGGCCATCAATATACAAACATGTGACTTGTAACAATGGTTATTTTTTTATCGCTTCACTTATATGTGGGAGAATTATTTATAAAAAAAAAATAATAATAAAAGAAAACAAAAACAGAATAATATATAAGTGGGCCAGCAATTGAAGGAGAGTGCATTTCTCAGGGCATCTACTTAAATATGCACATGGCAGCCAGTTATGAGACTTACCCTACAGCTACCGTCTGATCCAGGCTTATATTTTGATAAAGAATTCCTAAAATATTTGTTTTAAAACTGGAATTCCAAAATATATAAAGTTTTATAATACATAATGCTCGCCTATTAAATGAGTCTGAAAACTTTTAATTTCATGTTTGACAATTGTAGTTAGGAGCTCCAGTAGGTCCTGCACTGATGCTCCTGGGAACCTAGCCATGTCACTGGAGAGGAATACTGATTTGCTGATTTGGAATTAGCTTCCTATTTGGAATAAGTAAGAGTAATCAAATATTAACCTACTTCTTATCTGGGTTTCTATAATATTTATTAAAAACACAAACTTGTATTCTTTCCATGTTAAAGATAAACTGAAAAATGTCAAAGTTCCACAAACCAAGTCTTTCCTGCAGTGATTTTTCCCTGAATTTTCTTTCAAGTATGAAGGTAATTGTAGACAATTTGAGACAGATTGACTTCCTTTATAGAAATATTAATAAAACATCATCTTTTAGTGATCAATGTGTTTAATGAACTAATTTGCTTGAATCGTTATAGTGTGTTGTTATTTGGCTGATTGGTACTTTGTCATTTCTGCCACTAATCTAGGGAAGGAGTATTTACAGATGATATATTCCACAATTTTTAAAATGATTTGAATAATCTTGAAGCAAAATGAGCTTTGCCATTGAATTTCATTTTCCTACACAATATTTGAGGAACAATGTTTTGCAAGATAAAGGATTCTGCTTACTGATAATGCGCATATCAATGCATAAAAAAATTTCCATAAAAGAATAATAGAAATATTGCTCTTGAAATGTGCTGAATTTTAAGCCCTTCTATTAACAGTGATCAAAGAAACAAGCAGAAATGAAAACAGCACCAATGAAAGGGGAAAAAAAGAAAAAGAAAAAATAGTTGCAGAACAACTCAACTATAAAACTAAAACACACACACATGCTTTTAATTTTATTTATAGTCAACAATTTTTCTAATACCAAAAACATGTAATTTTATGTACTTAAAGTACATCATAAAAAAATTTGGTCTTGATATCAATGCAATATCTATCAATCACTTATGGAAACAATTTCAATTAATAATCCTTCTTATAATACGTGATCTGCTTTACATGGAAATGCAATTTTTTTAATAAAATAAAAGCTCCAAAAGGGGTTTTGAATTTTTTAATCAAATCAAAGATGGATGTAACAAATTTTGAGTTTATATATGCCAAAATAAGTGCTCAAAAGCTTGAGAAATTATCATAAAGTGAAATATTTGTTCATTTCTGCAACAGTAAATATTCCTGTACATAACATGAAGACTCTGAATGTCAATTTGATGTTTCTAATGCCTCAATCAATTTGAGAATATCATTACTCACTCTTCAGGGCAATTTAGAACAACAAAGAGCACTACCACCGACAGATATGCACCCCAAGCACAATATTTAAAAATTTAGGTTTTTGTCATAAGGCTTTAAAAATTCATTACAACAATTCCAATAAGATGTTTTAGAATTTCTCTTCCTCAACAGCACCACTAAAATTACAAACAAAAAGAAACACAACACATTGCACAGTAAAAGCTAATGCATATTTCACAACACCACAAAGCCAATCATTATATTTTTTTCAATACTCACAGAATGCTCTTGAATCTTTTTCTGTAAAATAAAATGCAACAATTTCTCTCATTCCATGAATTTTCAATGACTATATTATAAAAGAACAGAGTAATCTTAATATCTAGTATAATCTAAGAGATTTACCTCAATATCCCCCTTTGTTATGCTCTCTTCTTCAAATCGGAATTGTAAATCTTCAACTTTTCGTTTTTCGTCTTCCAGCAAACTGGCAACATCTGTCTTCTCTTGTCGTGCTCGTGTTAGCAGATCCGTCATTTCTCTAAGTCTCATGTCAGCTGTGTTCCGGTACTGAAGTGAAACAGTAAAATAAACCTCCAGACATAACTTGAATAATTAATGGTTTTTACACCAATATTATTAAATTAAATTTTCAAAGCATTGTTGTGACACATACAACTTCACAAGAACAATAGTGAAGTTTTTCAGTACCTTTTCAAATTCTTGTTGCATGGAGCTCAGTTTCGCCTCAGCTTCTTCAATTTGTGTGGCAGCACGAATAACTTCAGCCCTGTCAAGTTTTCTTTCTTGCAGTAACTTCTCAATTTGTCCATCTTTCTCCTTTAGTGTCTCCTGCACAGAGCACCACACACACAATCTTTCATTCAAGGTCATTTCTGAAAGTCCTCTTAGTGTATCATGTTGAAACAGGAATTTTTATTTGTTTAGTTCATTGCAAACAAGAAAATCACATCCATCATTCAAAAGCTACCGACATGAGCAATCAACTTACCATGACAACTTCAAATAGACATTTTAATTTCTTACATTCACAAGACATAACTACAGAATCTAATATTGTGAAGAACCCAACAGCTGTTATGTCTGGGGTGGAATAAAAGTCTAGCAAATGCAAGGATTACTTTACACATCAATCTTATAACAGTAGGTACTTACTTTATGTGCAAAGGGAGCATACTTCTCTCAGTGATAGAAACCCAATTAATTTGTCCTTTAAATAATTTCAACCAAGAATTTCATACTTCTCTACAAGAGTGCATTATTAGAATCATAAAATGGGTCTTTACATTTGTAATCATAATTCAAAGAAAAATACTACTATCATTCTTCGTTTTTATTAATCTGCCAGTATGAAGAACACTTATTATACTTGATCTTCACAATTGATTTTTGATTAGCACGGTTCTAATTTAGTTATTAATTTTCTTAATGGAATGTTGAGAAGCTATCAATTGCAAATAATACAGGTCAAGAGATGGGTTTCCATCACCTTCAGTTAACAGTACTCATTAAATTTTGGACAGTATTTGTACCTAAGGCGTTTATATCAAAACCAGCTAATCCTTAAATCCTTTATTTACCATTCTTGATTAAATCACTGAATTCTTTCAAGGTCACAAGTTGGAAAAAAAAAGAGAAAGACTTTCATCCAATCGAGAGCTTTAATATCAAAAATATAAGTCATAACGACGGTCAAGACTCGATGTCAGTGTCCATCTCTCCTGCCAGCTTGTGACCTTGAAAGGACTTCCTGCTTTAATAAAAGTATAAAATTCTCTTTTTTGCATTTAAAGGGTCTGTGAAACATTCAGAATGGGCTCTAGCTCAAGGATAGCTCACCTAAGCAGGAAGTGAATAGGCAATTTTCTCCAGAGGAAGACTCTCAGAACTTCAGGTGATGAAATGAGGAATTGAATGAGGATATCTCATGCAACACAGTCTGAATAAATTCTAAAAATGTGCCTTAGCAATGTTTTCTTATCTAATTTTCTTGATTGGGATTTCTTAATTTGAATATTTCAAACTGGGGTAATCATAAACAAGAACCCTTGTATGTCTATCAAGGAGAAATTAATACTTTTCCAGCAGGGGGCGGGGGGGTTAAACTCTCTAGAAGGAGATGAACCCCAGCATTCCTTCTCCTCAATTCACACCCTGCATCTAAAATATGGTGAGAACAACTCTCATTCACATCCAACCATTAGTAGTTGCAAACATATTTTTATCTTTCTAGTAAAATTGCAGCAAATGAAAAGAGCTAGTTCTGAAAGCAAATGCTTCACATACAAAAGTATATACCACAATCCAAAAATGTAGGGTTTCAATAAATTAGTGACATTATTCTTTTTCTATCATAAAAGAAAATTATGGTATAAAAGTAAAATTTTCTTTACAAGATACGTCTCGAAGAGACTTTCGAATCCAAAAGGGCATATGCAAATAAAATCTCGAGTGCGAAACATTATATTATCCATGATCATTTTATAAATTATGATGAAAAAGTTAAAATAAAATTTGCAAATAGCATGTATGCTCAATTGAAACATGTCTTTCACTGTTTTAATGAAATAACAAATACTGTATTTCACACAATATATTACGGGGAGTAAATTTAGATAGGAATTAGGTAGAACTAAGTCACTCTGCTGAGAGCTGAAAGAATCCATGGCAGTACAATGGCTGCGTATGAATGATGTTGAACAACAAGTGTGTACATCAAAAAATTAAATTTCATAAAAGAGCACAAACTTTCTACAACTATTCTACAAAATTTAAAATGATTACCATTAAATATGTTATAATGATTATCATTGGTATGAAAATGTATTAAAAATTTATTTCAACTGCATTAAATAAAACATTGACATGCAATGTTACATTAGTAAGAATATGCCTGACACACAAGGTTGCTTTCAATCATCCACATGGCCATGGGTTTTGGAACTAGATCCATAGGTTGTTGCACAGGGTCTCCTCGGGAGTTCCTTCGCAAGTAGAAAACAGGGAGACCATATGGGACTCCTCAAATATCTGCCTCAGCAGGCGGAGCCTGATGGTATGTAGTGCCCCCCATAGTAAATAAGGAGATGGGGCCCACAGAGAAAGGCTCATGGAAAGGAGCCCATGGTGGGGGATCCTTTGCCTCCTAGCCTCCTGCCACCACTGGAAGGGTGATCATATCATTACACAAAAATTGAGACTTAAAGAGATGTGACCACAAATTTTCCCTAGACTTTTCTTTTCGAATTTGTCTTAAGAAGTTTGTCCATAAGAAGGACTTTTTTGTGATAAAACCTCTGCTTCAGATACTACTGTTACTATTTCAAAATTCTAAATTTCCAGCCATTCTCATGAAAATAATCAAATCTGATATGTGAATTTGAAAGTTTACAGAATATTTTCAATACTGGGTCAAGAAATATTAAATGGGTAAAGTCCCATTTAAGTACAAGATACAATCTTTATCATTGACACCTATCAAATTTAATACATTCAAAAAAATTGATATCTGTACTTTAGAGCTATCAACAAGATAATTTTTGGTGAGATAAATGTCTTTATAAACGAGATGAATTTTAATTTACTACTGCTGAATACTACATAAAAAGCTACTTTTGTAAGATCTCATTAAAATCTTAGTGAATATACAAAACATTGGCAATGATTACAACAAACATTACATTACTCTCTCTGCTTAGTATCATACTTTGACAATTCATATAGTAATAAATATTGATTCTCAAGAAAGAAACAGAACAAATAATTGTCAATGAACATGTTAATTTGCAAAAAGGTACAGTTTCTCTTAACTAGATACGAAGATATTGGAGGAGTCTGATTATGACTTATATGAGGAAGATGATTATATTGGGGAATTGTGGATTTTATAACATGGAGTATGTAACGAGGAAAGTGTATTCTCATAAATTAGTTTTTAAATCATCAAACTTTTCTTGAAAACTTGTAACATTTTTTTCGGTTTGCCAATTTTTTTGTATGTAGCAACAAGATCTTAAGTGATTGCAAACACTACATATGAATAAATAACAAACAAATTCTACCAGCATATATCTTACCTTTACTAAACACAGCCACGAAGAAGGACATATAAAAGGAAAAGGTAATTTCAAATGATTTATTGTGTGTTCTTGTATTTACATAACAAAAATGGTTAAACATTTGAAATAAACTATCTACAAACTTTAACATAACGTTTAAGCACACAAATGTGAGTACAAACTAAAATAAAACTGATAAAAAGAAACACTCAGAAACTAAAGCAAACCCATTGAATTGTTTATCTTATCCCTGCCATGTTAAACAGAAATAAAGAACAAATAATTTATTAATAAAATCATACAGACTAATAAAATGTTACATGCATTTGCAAAAACTCAAACGTCAAGCTACTGAAGACCATGATGTTTTCATGGCAGCTGCTCTCCTTTGGCAGATGACATCTTTGACATCTAATAGCATCCAATGAATGGGTCAGCCATGGTGTACTGAATACAGTAAGTGGTCTTCCAAAGTCATGGAATACAGTAACACATCAATTACACTCTGTGTGACATTCAACTACTTGGTAAGTATGTCAGATATTAATGAATTTGCAAAAAGCACATTAACACTGTTACCTTACACACTTTACATTAATCTTGGAAAAAATATATAATTCCAAGACAGATGTAATTACTACATTTACATGGCTGTTGTTAGTTCGACATGTTAAAGCTGTTTTATACTTCATGGTACAGGTAAGGAAAGAAAGGTGTAGTCACTGGATGACTGGACTGTAAGTCCACAAAGCGTTCAGTACTGTACAATAAAATACATTAGCACAGATGTATAAAGATCAGTCAATTACACCAGATATCAGCTGTTGGATTATCTTCACAACATTACACATGTTTATAAAAGTTACAAACATTTCACTGGTGAAATATTTTGCAGGACATGGTTAAAGCTAAAGAGAGCTTTCAGTAAGTATAATTTACTATTACACAGGTGTCAGTAATGATTCATTGGCAGGAATTCTTGGCAAGGAGGGCATTTTAGGTCCTTACCTGCAGGGAAGCTCGAGAAGTTGCAGGAGTTGTAGGGGTTCGTACCCCTGTTTTCTACAAAATCAAACAATTCTCTCAGTGAGTTAGTCAATTCACACAGCACAAATCCAAATATAAAAGTAAACATTACAGCAAGCCAATAATAAGAATGCAAGTCATCAATTTCAAACAATTTTTTATGCATGCAATATTATTGTACACATTCACAAAAAGTTTATAAAAATTAAATTAAATTAAATTAAATTAAAAATAAATATTTAAAAAAGGGCAAAGCAGGCAGGCCAACCACAGGGTACTAAACACAATATTAAGCAATCAGAAGATAATCATTAACAAAAATGAGGGAAATTCATAAGCTTTAGAACATCAAACAAAATTACAAAAATGAAGGCAAAGTTGGGGAGATATTATTCAAGTCATTTACAATGCAAAACTATTTTTCATACTCATACAAACACACAATTCAACCTGTTGATAAGGAAATTGTTGTACACATAGCAAAACTACAGGTTTGTTAGTCTCAAAAAATGTGCTAAAAGAAAATAGCAGTTAAGATAACCAGAAATGAGTCACTGAGGATTAATTCAATAACACAAGAAAACTGAGAGTGTGTTGCTTCACATCATTACAAAATGAAATTGAAATGCAAAATTAACAAAGAGTAGGAAAGCACCGTTTATAAAATATCAATATCAATTACAGAAGTACAATGAGAACTAAAAGAAAATACACCTTAACACAGATCCTTGCCTCTAAAAATTATTGAAAAATTACATCCCAAAAATTAAGCAGCCTTTCAAAAAAAAAAATAATCTGAAGGAAATTGACTGTAACAATAAATTTTAGATGATTCCCTAACTGATGATGTAGTGCATATTCCTAAAATGGAGAATTTTCATAAGAAATCAAATCTTATGATTATGATCAACAAAAGTAAGCACAATAACATTCCCCAAGAACACTCAAAGACTGAAAATAAGTTTACGAGAAATTTGTATGAAAGAATGAATACCTCAATATGCAGAAACTTCATACTAAGCTTAGTCATGTCTGATGTTTCAGCTGCAATAGCTCGGATATGGGATCAAATTTGTTTGGTATCTACCAGTTTATCTAGGACTTGTTTATTCCTGATAATTCTGTTTTGTATTCTAGTTTGATTTCAGACACAAAATTTTTTAGGTACATGACAAAGGATATCAGTAAACTCCTTGAGAACTTTTATTGTCTGTACCCCCATTGCAGTGACAATTTTGATGAGTTTTAATACTGAACTTTACAGTGGAGGATTACTTACAAAAAAAATTAGAGAAAGTAGTGCTAGAGATCACAAAGTGAAAAAATTATTAGTTTACATCATAGAAATGAATAGGAATACTAATTTGTAAAGAAACCAAAATGAAAGATGATTATTCATTGGTCATATTTGCATAAAAAATAAATATTTTTAAGAAAAAAATCTCAGCAACAAAAGTACTCAATGTGTATGAGTTAGAAAACAATAAGAATAAGAAAAACTCAGAACTACAATGAGAAAATGAGGCCAGACAAGGTTTGTGGGTGCAACAAGACAACAAACACACACATTAAAAAAAGTATGTTTCAATATTTGATAATGCATATTTAATTAGATGACAGTTAATGATAGAGGATGGGATAGAGATAGCAATCATCTTGGTGACACTAAACTCAGTCACATGTCCCCATGACCAAGAGTCATTGTGAAACTTTCACATGGTGTACATTCCAACCTTCATGCAGTCTTCTTGATCAACATTTCTTCCTAGCTCTGGGCAAGGCTGCTTTACGATATTGGCTGAGAAGAAAAGGTACTTACAGATTGTCTACATACTTTTTTGAAATTTAAACATGTAAGAGGTTGAGATGTGATGTGTTTTATCTCTCTAAAGAAAAATCAAATCCTAAAGTAGAGATATAAAGTGATGATTAATCTGTTTCACAAATGTACAAGTAAATGCACTCTTTAAACAAACAAATGCATAACCTACTATGGGTATTATTACAATTCATAAAAATGTTTCGGTCACACTTTTTACTTGTTATATAGGGTAAAATATACAATTAAAATAAATACAAATGTCCTAGTAAAATCAAATAAATAAGAAAAATGTTTAACTTCCATTTAAAACAAAATCAATGGAAAAAGGTAGAAGCAGAAGAGAAAGATGAAAAGGAAGAAATGGAGGAAGAACAAAAGGGCAAAAACAACCGGGAAACATATCAACTTTGTTGCAAATGTAAAAATCTAAAAGATTTCCGTGTATTTGTTGTTCTTGTTACTATTTCCTTATATAATTGAATACAATTGTCCAATGAAAATATGGTTTTGCAAATCGTGGTAATAATCGTTCTGAATCATAGAATACAAATATTGAATTTTTGGTTTTTAACAGAATAATCAGTTCTCTTTCTGGGCCGTTGATTTCACGCCTTCAATTTTTTTCAAGGAAAAGAGAATTTAACATCACTTCTCGACCCTTTACATGTGCGAAGTTTAATGCAATCGGTGGGGGAAACGGGTAACCCGTCCACCGCTGTGCCCCTGCCGCTGTGGATGGCCGCCTGCCCCGCCGCTCCGGGGGGCGAGTGCTTTCTCTGACAAAGAGAGAAAGCGTATGGATAAATGGAATACGTGGAATGCGCTCTGTAGATGGCGATCGTTCAAAAATGTGTAGCCCTAAGTAAGGTGTTTAAACAGGGGGCGAAGTGAGAGGGGAATGTCCCTCCCCCTACAAAATCTGATATCTCCTGCTGGGAGAGTATTAATTTGTCCCCGCGAGGGACATGTTTTAATCCAATACTCAGTGCTTAGTTTAAGATTTTCATATTTTCGAATCAAGGAAATGGGAAAAAGAAACGTTTCATGGAAAAATCTTAGGACTGAAAAACAACCCTCTCCAAATTTGCGCCCAAACGCAGATGTTCGTTTCACTTGCTAATTCGTCAATTTCTCTCCTCCCCCCCCCCTACCCGCCCCTCTAGAGAAAATTGAGAATTCGCACCATGTTTCTAAGTTGCATTAAATAAAATGCTTTAGTTGTTGGGGTTTAGCCAGACTGAAAAGATGTTTTCTGCCAAAAAATCAAAGATAGGAGCATTGACGTTTACTTGAAAAGCAAGTCAAAAAGGTCCTATCAAATAGGCATTTTTTAAATAAAAAGTTAACTTAATTCAATTGCCTTAACATTCACTAACTTTAACTTATGTATGTGTTAAAGTTACCGTTAAGTGAAATGAATACTTATTTTACATGGGCTGGGCTCGAGGACTTTTACATCAATCGCGGAGTCAGAAGCCTGACCAGTGCCTAGAAATGCGCCAGCGAAGCTGATGACAATTGCATTTTAAAAAGCTTACATATGGCTTAACAAGTACACGTTTCTTAAATCACCGCCATCTACACAGACCATTGCACACCTGTCCCGTTTGCCCGCACGCTCGAGTTCCTCGTCGAAGACCACACTCGTCCCCCAGGGGAGGCCGGTGGGTGGGCGGGGGAGGGAGGGGGCACCGTACCTGCAGCGAAGTGACGCCCAGCCTTACCCTGGCGCCGCGCACCGACGAGACGGCGGATGACGCCACGGAGGAGGCGAGCGACTCGCGGGAGCCGGCGCGCCGCATCACGGGCAGCCCGGACCCGGCCGCCCCGGGGTGGTGCAGCGCGCACGCCGCCGACGACGGCCGACGGCTCGACGGCGACTTGCTCACTTTGTGCGCCGGCGCGAACAGCCCGAACTTGGGCTGGCACTCGAAGTACCTGTGGCACGGCAAGGAGAGCGGGGTTGAAAACACTGTGCGTTGAAAACACTGAACGGGCACTATACCGTTTTTCTTTACCATCATCAGTGGCGCCCAGAAAGGGGGCAGCTGGGCCTCGACTTACATTTGGGCCCAGATTATTTTTCATTCAAAACATACGTAAACATATATTTACTTTTAATCCAAATTATCAGCTATAAATTACTTTTCTTGCATGGAGAGATGACTGTATATCTGCTGTGTGGGGGTGTTTGAAACAAGGGGGCCCAGTGGATCTACTACCCCGGACCCTTTGCTTTTTCTGGGCGCCCCTAACTATCACACATAATATTCAATGCTCTTTGGGATGCTGGTTTCTTTCCCGTGAGCGTGTTATTAAATAATTACACTCACTGAATTATTATTCACATAGTTTTAATTTTGACGAACTTCTTAGTGTATTCATTCAATAATGTCCTCTTTGGATGAAATTGTTTGCCGCTAAACAACAAGTGTTTGACCTGAAGTGCATGTGCATAGAGATGTATAAGAGTATAATTGTGATTGTGTTCTATTGAACTGCCCACTGGACCCAGAAACACCGAAAAACGATCACTGTTGATCCACGGGGCCACTGAATATTCCAACCCTTAAACACGAAGAATATCGTGAACATTTGAACGAACGAAACATCTGAAGGCAGAGGGGTCACGTAAAGGTGGTTCCATGTGCCGACGGGGAAGAGTGTCCGTATGCGGTAGCATCCCTTACCTCGAAGTACCTAGAAGTCCCAAACGGAGATCCGTATTGCACCCGCGGGGCAATACGTCTTCGGGTACTCGCGAATTGCAGCTCGCGAGGCGGCGTCTACGCGCGCACTGTGAGATTACGCATCGCCCGGCCGCCCTCGCTGTGGCGCGTCCTCACTCGGCCGTGTGGGCGGCGGACGCGCCAGGGCAGGCGACGGAAAGCCAAGAACCGCAAAGATCACGAGGCAGAGCTGCACAAGGCCTGCCACTCCTGCTAGTCTTTATATGGGGATATACCACAATCACCATGCACGAGGCGTGTCCGCAAAGCAAGTTCCCCTAGGTCGTCAACAAAAGGAAAAGACTATTTCATGGGAAAACTTTATTGTAACAGGTAAAGCACGTTGCATTTTTTTTCACGTAATCAGCAACAGAATGGAGATTTGTCAAACCGAAAGATGAACATTTGTTTCCCTGTTTCGTATACGTCTGACGCGTGGGATATTTATCCGTGTATGACAGCCACCACCGACACTGCGTCACTGTGATTCGCTTAACGCTGACCGGACAGGAATTTCTTGATAGAAATTGCTGGGGGGAGGCGAGATCCCGACTGCACGGTATATGGTCCAACACCTTCCAGTATTATTGCCTGTTGTGAGTCGAGCCGTGGGTGGCCGAAAGTACGTCCGGATTTCTCAGAAAATCGTTTGAAGTATAAGATATTCAGACCAGGAATCGAACCGGGGTCTCCTGGTCTAAGCCCAGTTTTTTTTTTATTTTTTTTTTTATTTGAACAATCGAACATTTTTTTCTTTGAACATTTAATACGAATATACATAACGAAGGTCCCAGCATGGACATAAATGACTGTGCAGAACAACCCGTCCGTCGAATTTGCCATAGACTTTTGACATTTCCGTTGAAAATGATAAATTGGTGAGAATTTAATATGTTTATGTTGTTTGTGCAGTAATTGATAACTATTCCTTAGGCTCTGCTTTTATTTATTGTTTGTTCCCTTTCTTGTTGTTTTTGTTTGTTTTGTTTTTAATTTTAGAATAATACTTTACATTTATTTGGCATCTTGTCACAAACGAATTCAAAATTTCGCTGACAGCACCGGTTTATTGCAAGTCTCACAGCAGCATTTTGACAAATGTATGGGTGCCATCAGACGCCAGCGTAAATGAGAGCAATTGCTGCGCGCGTGCCTCGCATGGTGAGAGACCGCTGTGGGCCGGGGCCTCGGAGCCGTCAGAGATGGCGATGGGAGAGGCAACGGAAGTTTCCCAGGAAGAAGGAAGGTTCCCAGGGCTCCATTGGAAGTTCGTTCTTGACAGAATGTGAAGATCTGCGACTCCTCTATACTTCTTGCGGCCTGTCCTTGGAACATGATTCTCAGCCCTTCGATGTGCGTTTTCATTTATTTAATTAATTGTATTTTTTAATTTACATTTTGAAATTTCATTATTTAGCACGTGTTATCATGATATTATTGGAGGCTGGTGCATGAATGTTGATAACACAGAAAGCTGATACATTTGGGTGAATATTTGTGACTGTTCTAAAAGTGAAGTCCTCGCAGGTAAGCATCTCAAGAGTGAATGAAGTCTGAGTTATAAAAGCGTATTCATTTTCCATGCGACGAAGTGTAGTACACCGTTAACACTGTGGGCCGCTAGGGTTTGATTCAGTGCAGATTTGTAACGCCAGGATCTTGTCGTAAGTGATTTTGATGTCCCCAAAATGAACACCTCGCATTGCCCACTCTAAGCGACCCTATCGTCTTTCCCAAACGAATCCGTAGAGAAGGGCTGGAGTCCCTGCCCGCCTCCCCACTTAGGTACGACATGGTACTGCCCGAGGAACTCCGAAACCGGCGCGCGATCGTGTGTGGGTGTACCCAAAACATCATAGCTAGAATCGAGATCTCAGGAACTCGATTCTAGGGGTTTAAATTCAGTCTGTTATAAATAATAGTGGAAAGTAATTTGAGCTGTGGATTGAATTGAATAATTTGAGCTGTGGCGGGAGCTTAGAAGGGATGGGAAGACAAGTGTAATAAAGGGAAGGAAAGGAGAGGAAGTGAAGTGAAGAGCAGGGAAGGCACGTGAGGTGAAGAGGCGGAAAGGTAGGTGAAATGAAGTAAAGAGGAGGGAAAGCACGTGAAGTGAAATACAGCGAGGTGACGTGAGACAGGGAGGAGGGGGGCGGGAAGTGGACGCACCGTCGGTCGCCGACGGAGCCGTCGTTCTTCCCGAGCGGGTCGTCCAGCTCGACGCCGCACCACTCCCCGGCGGCGAAGTCGGTGGGGCCCATGAAGCGCAGGACGCCGGCCTTGGAGCCCAGGCTGCTCATGACAATGACGCGGTCGCCCAGCTTGAGCGCCCCGGCACCGCCGCCGGCCCCGGCGCCGCCGCCGGTCGACGACGACAGCTTGCGCGAGGACAGGTCGCGCACCGACGACGCCGGCGACACCAGCGAGGAGCGCGGGCGCACGGGCGAGCTGGCGCCCGACGCGGACGCCGAGCCGTTGGCGCCCAGCGGCGAGTCGGGCGGCGGCAGCGGCGCGCGCGTCAGGCGCGTCAGCCGGGAGAAGACGCCGCGCCGCGCCTCGCACTGGAAGTAGCGGATGCCCGCCACAGACCCGTCGTTCTTGCCTGCAAACGGGCCTTATGAACAACAGCATTCCTTCACGGAACGTGCGTGATCTTGGCTGTCCGGGTGACGCCGAGTCGAAGGCTGTCGCGGCGTCACCGGAACAGCCAAGATCATGCACATGACTCTGGCCGCGGAAGCCTACAACTTCCTTCACGGAATGTCGGAATGTAGATTCTATAAAATCAAAACTACTGTCTCTAACAACACGCCTGTCAGTAAATACGTAACTCCGAGGTGAAATGCACTCTGTCACATTTACCTAATTCTAAAGAAGTAATACTGTAAAGAGTTCAAAGGCGTTGTATTCCTATGAAAGTTAATAGACATTACATGGTTTTTACTACTTATAACTTCGTTATTAATATATGTTGGAGAGAGTTTTGAATACCTCCAGAAAGAGCACTGAAATTAGAACGTGTCAAATTATCTCATTTTAACCATAAAAAGTAACAAACTGCTCATTAACTCTGCGGTACAGATTTTCATTGATAATTTATTAATATTTTACTGATAAGATTATTTATCAAATTTTATCTATTCATAAATCATTTGGCCTGAAGTATTTGTGAAGGAAAACTTTCTTACTATGTCAGTTTAGGACATCAGATTTTCTTCCTGTTCAATGTTCTAAATTACAAATTACAATAAACTAAACTATGATTTGATCGTTGATTGGAACTATTTAGTAAAAACGTGTGTAAAAATGAAACTTCATCGCCGAATTAAAGCGTCCTAATTAAAAGTGTGTTGCTAAAGAACAGACAGCGACAACTCAAATGATACGTTTTTTATAAAAAGTGAAATATGCAATACGAAAAGTGTTATTTACGCGTGAAAAGAAATATGTAAATATAGCCATTTATGTAAAAAACTGCACACGGAGTTCCGGGTTGATTCCTGGGAATATTACATTTGGGAAGACAAAAGGTTTAATATATATGTTAAACTGTGACAAGTGTTGTGCTTACATTTCTTTTACCTTGAACATTTCGAGTGTATGCGCAATTCGCCAGGCGAGCAAACGCAGCGCGGCTGCTCCATGCCAAAACACACACAGTAAAAGAACAATTATTTTGAGAAACAGTTTCAATATGTTTCTTTGGCCTTAAATGTGTAGGTACTGGGTTTTAAGCTAGAGAAACCATTGAACCAAAAGATATTCACAAGTGTGGTTTAAAGGTTCACCTTTGTGCAAGAGCCCACAGTATGCTGTATCGTGCGTGCAACGCATTTTAGAGAAGAACGCCGGTTACTGTGTTTGTGCATGGAGCAGGCGAGCGGGGGAGGGAATACGCACCGACGGGGTCGTCGAGCACCACGCCGGCCCATTCTCCCGGGGCGAACTGCGTGGCGCCGATGTAGGCGATCTTGCCGGGCTTGGTGCCGCCCACCCAGACGCGGTCGCCGATGATGAAGCTGTCGGTGTCCTCCGTCAGCACCACGCTCGTGTCTGCGCACGCGCACAGCGACGCCGCCGTCACTCGCCGCCCACGCACACATTCCCCACCCCAGACCCAATCCCGCCCCTGCAAGCAGGCGCACCCCAGGGATACTAATATTGTCCACAATTCAAATCTGAAAGGACGGATTCGGGACTTGATTCGCAATATGAACTCAAAATGACTTGAAGGGACTTGATTCGCAATATGATCTTGAAAGGTTTCCGAACCCAGAGAATCTCCAGAATAATATTTTGAATATTTTATATGACAATTTTTTATCACGGGTAAGGATCTTCCCATGAAATAGTGAAAATCTTAAGTAATAAATTTGTTTCCCTCATTTCGTATTATTACTTATTGTACTATAAGTGTGGCAAAATATTTATTATAGACTTAGCGTAAATAATACAAATTCGCAAATTATTTCAAGTCATACTTTACGCATTTATTTTCAGAAGATAGTAATTCATTAAGTCATGAAAAATCGCGGGCAAATTCAGATGCGCCCACTTGCAACGCTTTTACAGTAAAAAAAGTAATTTTCATCTCTTTCTTACTATTGCAGGAAGTCATAATTTTAACAAAGCATCACTCTTTGCAACAATAATAGATAAAAAATACATATAATACATCGAAGAATACTGTGAAACTGGAAAAAAAGCTACACATACAGAGACAAGAAAAGAATACATCCCATTTTCAAAGGCATTGCAAAAACTAGAAAATACCATTGAGGCACGCTTTGAGTCTTAGTGCTTCCTTCTCCTCATTCATAAATCTGAACAAGATGTTTGAAAATATTTCGGTATTTTCAATTCAATTAACAGGTCAAATCCGTTGCTTCGGCTGTTAAGGATATTTCATCTTCTACAGCATTGTAGTAGAGAAAAAAGTTTTCCGCTTATTTAAGAGTGTAAAATGTAAGATGTTCACGGAAAATAAAAATAATAATTTATTAAAAGTATCTTGAGAAGTGATTGAATTTGAAATAAGTTTATACTATTTTATTTGAAACTGTGTATCGGTACCAAACGATATTTACAATGTGGATTCTTTGTGTTTGATAGCTGACACATCGAAAAAGTTCTGAAGTTATCGATAACAAGTACATCGATACACTGCTCATATCGATATATTACTGTTTACTTGTATCAACATATTCTATCGCTCCAGTAAAGACTCAGGCTTCAGCTGTGAGCGAAGGCGAAGGAAGCACTTGGAGAGCGTTCCGTGGGGAGAGGTAGCGTGCAGTGGGTGCGGCAATTACCTGAGGAGCGGCGGACGCCGGCCTCGCTGAGGCGGCGCGAGCTGGCCCAGCCGTCGCTGGCGCCTCCGCCTGCCACACAATGCCATGCAGTGCCCGGCCGCGCGCTCGCCATGCACGCGCGGCTCAGGTAGGAGGGGGAGGGAGGCAGGCGATGTTTGGGACAGGCCCACGGAGCGGGACAGGGGGACTAAGGGGTCACTGGCTGCGAGTGGGTGGTCGTTAGGGGGGCAATGTTTATTTATATTTTTTTTACTACATACCACAATTTTAATTGAAGTGCTACGTAATCTGCGTCAGCAAATATAATTTTGAAATGACTGTTTTATAGGTTTTGCACGTTTAAAAACTTAGGGTGTAACTTTCTGTTTTCCCATTACCTGAACTACAAAAATTCGTGCACGCGTGTTTTTAGGCTCACTAAATACGAATGTAATGCTCAAACACACTTTTGACAGTTGGCAGCTAACAACCAAATGACAATTTCTTCGCCCGGTCACTCGCCGCATGCAACTGAATCATCGGAAGTCGCGGGGGCCCAATGTGAAAGGACGGGCGAGCGCTTCCTAATTTTATTTTCATCTAGTCAATAATTACAACGTGAATCTGCTGAATGAAAGTTCCAATGAAATTTCATAATTAATGCTACATTTTTTATTAAGCTACTTTCAAAATTAGGAAATTGAATGACTAGAAACGTCCATATATTTTCTCGGAGCTTAAATTTACCGTCCTTTGCAAGAAATAACAGGAAACGAAAATGCATGTTACAGTTATCAGTTATAATCGCTGAGAATGACTGAAGACCCAAGCGTGTGAAGGCAAATGTACAAGGAGAAACGGAAATAGAGAGGACTTTCAATGCACAATAGAGAATGGGAAGCAGAAAGGTTAAAGGTAGGTGAATGAGAAAACGGTAAAGGTAGAAAGAGAAGCAAAACGATTTAATGGAAAGAGGAGTTTGCAGAAAGGACGTTTGGATCACCGAGACGGAACGTTTTTATCCACAAGGTAAAAAAAAATTGATTTGTCACCAAGCCACATCATCGCTTTACTGGTAAAATGGGAGAAAACCGGCACGTAAAAGAAACGCAATAGAAGGAAGTGGAAGAGGAAACGGAGGAGGAAAGGTCGCAGCCAGAGGTGAAGACGGGTCGGGGAGGTGCCCGCGAGCGGGCTGTGCAGCTGCAAACACAACTCAAAACACTGAACTAAACATAGTGCACAGAGACAAATCAGAGGAAAAAAACGTGCAGGCAGACCATTCCCAAACACTCGACACGAGCGCAAGTACAAGCACAAGCACAAGCGCACCCACGTGCGCGAGCAGGTGACGCATGCGCCGCCACGCCCCCCAACGCCCCCGCGCGCGCGAGCGCACACGCCGCGGCGGCCGCGCCAGCGCCCGGCAGGCGCCAGGGACGGCAACTGCGTACATTGGCATGAAGCTAAGATTTTATTAAACTGCAGTTCAGTACAACCACGTAGCAGTAAGTTACGATATAAAGACCATGAGTTTCATATTAATTATGATAATCATAATAATAATTATTATTACGACATTGCTGTATACATTGTCATATTCTCGGTTCAGGGCAGCGGACGATAATTTTGACCTGTTATAAAACAAGTATATTGTATTAAACAAGTATCAATGTATTAAATGTAGTATTCAAAAACATTTTTCAGGCGAACGTCGCTACAATTAAATTGTAGAACAATTATTAATTTCAGAACTGAGGAAGTCATTCTTGATCCACACCATTTTTCCAATCTGACTCAGCGGATCTGGTGAGTATATAATGACGGTTAACGTAGTGCATAATTAATTTTACAGGTAAATTCGTTGAGCGGTTTACTCAAGATTTGCATACTGTAAAATTACATAATAACACATGTTATTCGCGATTGTATGAAAAAACCGATGAAACAGCCTCGAAAGGGTCCGGCTGGAAAAACCGTTGTGGCGACATGGTGAAAGGATGACTGAATAAGCTCTGAAATTAATGGAAGCTCTATAATTGGAATCTAGAGGCGTGTGTCTGAAATAGATTTTAAACTCTCCTTAATTTAAGAAAGCGATAAATTTTGTTGACACACTTCAACTTACGATACAAATTCCTGATACCATTATAGTAATACATTGACAATCACATAATTCAAAAAATAAAACGCACTGTAAGGTGAAGATACACAGTTGCCGTTCCTAGTCGTACCAGGCCCCGAAGGAGCCGCCGCGTGGTGCGTCCCAAAAAGACACAGAGAAGTGTCCTAGGTAGCGCTAGGTGAAGGGGCGCACAGAACGGATAATTTCAGGAGAAGGCAAGGAAACTATCGCAAAGCACTACTATTGGGCGCGACTTCAAGGCATCATTTTCCACAGCTGCCAGAGCACAGTTTCTCACTTGCATTCGGAAGAAAAAAAAATTCGAGCTTTGCTTCATAGTCAGAGCATACCAAGTTACACAAGAACTGTTCTCGAGAAACTCAGCAGTTACTGCAAATAAAATGCTAGTTTTATGCAGTTCAAAAACAAACCCTAGGCCAACCTCGGAACTTCAACGTCGAGACGGTTTTGTACGCAAAAATGCAGTTAATGATGTCCAGATGCTATATTGAAGATCAGAAAATAAGGAAACCGAACCAGGGGCCACTTAAAACATGTACAGAATACGAATACTTATCGACTCCAATTTTTTGAAAAACAAATACATTTTTGATACACCCATATTCTTCATCCCTATTATAACCATTTTAAAATGAAAATGGAGTTACTGTTTCGTACGAACCGTTTTAAAAGCCAATACGATTATCCTATTACGATATGGTATCCATAATAATCCCAGAGGTAGCCAAGCATATTCGATGAGCCCCCCTTCGCTTAAAAACAAATCAAAACTCACCGTTTCAAAAAGCAATTTCATTAAAAGAGAAAACGCAAGAAGTAGAAGGTATTGTCAAATACTTATTTTATATCAACAATGACATTATTATTACAAGTGTTACATTTTCCTATTGCAAGCAGAAGAGAGAAAATATTTTTTTAAATATTTATTTCATTGTTTTTTCGAGAATACATTATTCAGATGATTTCACATGCGAAATGAAACAATATTACAGAATTTATCAGAATAAAGGAGTTGCTTCTGACATCTCCTGCACGTTTATCTTATTAGGAACATAATATCATAAATGCAAATTTACAAGGAATGAATTTAAATGGAAAAAAGGTTAAACGAAACTAATGTTAGCTAATTTCAGACAGTTGGTTTAAGGAATTGAGAGACGCTTACGAATATGAGAGAACGTAGGAATGTGTACGCCAAGATCATTCCAGAGACGCGAAGAAGATTAGAGATAAATTAGGGTGAAATTTTGGATATAAAAACCGCAACCGATGTGAAGAGCCGAGTAGCGTTAAGGCACGCGCGCCGGTGCAAGGGAGACCTTGGGGGGCGATGCAACCCACAGTGCAGCTCTGTGTAGCGCCAGGCGCGCGGCTCGCCCGCACTCGCATGCCTTCACGCCGACGAAGCGCCCGCGAGCCCTGCCGCATGCAAGAGGCTGCAGAATACAAGCCCCCCTTCCCAGTTCGGTTGCCTGCTCGCGATATTTATCTATTTATTAATACTCTTGTATTTATTTATAATTCAAAAATTGTTACAACTGTAAGTGAAATTCGGAGGAAGAAAAGTTTAATTTGCTGTGCAAAAATAAAGCAAAGTATCATGTAGCACCCAAACGACAATAATGTAAAATGCGACAAAATTGGACGCCTATTGACACTTGTTCCCGAGTAGGACTGTCTTACTGAAAAGGTAGAGGTGATGGCCATTAGACATTCTGTTACGCTCAACAACTTCATTCGAACTTTGTTAAAGAGCAATGGAATTTTTTTTCAATTACAAAGGATAAACTTTCTTGTAAGACATAGGTACGCAAACATCGGCCTCCTATTTCATTTCATACAAGTTACTGAGTGCCCCGTTTTAGAGTCTTTCTTATTTAGAGGAACACACAAAATCAAATAGCGGAACTTGCTTAATATTTCTTCACAGTTTTACACTAACCTGCCCCAACCAAGAGACTTGGAAGACAAGTTTTTTAAAATTTTATTTTTAATAAAGCAAAAATTCGAAAAGGCGAATTTTGAAACAAATCGAAATATTTTAATATTATTTTTACATTATATACCAAAAGAGCACGGAAAATATTTATATTGATACCTTAATTTTATTAAACGATTCCACCTTAAAGTTTACTCAACATAGCACCTAAACAATCACACACATGAACGTGCAGTTTTCCATTTATGCCTCGTAATAACTGTGCTCTGCCGCTAGAGTTCTCTCCTGTAGGCTTTCCCTTTTTATATCCATATGCATATTGGTGGTCCGATATACGGCGCATTCCCGAGGACAAGAGCCGTTTATTTGACAATCTTCCGTTCTTACAATTTTTCAAATGAAAGTACATTAATTACATTATTTAGAAAATTGGATTGTCTGTACATCGTAACGACATTGAACCAACAGACCAATTTCCTAAATATTCATAAATGGCTCGCAGAAATCAAAATTGACTACAGTACTTACGTTACGTGCTTTCATATACTTTGAGCCTGAAACAATATCGCTCGTCGGCTGAAATAGTGGCACAACTCATGCACTCTCCAGAATTGCAATCTACCTTCTAGCAGCAACACCAGCATATCTTAGAGTACAGAATTCCGTCAACAAATATTGAAAGTGTGAATGCAAAAATCACGCCTTTCAATACACGGTGAAAACTTCAAACTCAATTGTTCTAATACCTGATTTTTTTGAGTTGTGCCACTGTTGCAACCTCGAGCGATACAGTGAAAGAAAATGAAACGGCGCCCATTGGCTTCGGAAGCACGACGCCGGGCAGGCAGAAGGAGAATGGAAGGAGAGTAAAGGAGAAAGAAGGAGAGGGAGAGAAGGGTAGTCGAGGCGGACGGCCACTTACTAGAGAACTTGCGGACGCTGCTGGTGTCCGGCTCGGGGCTCGAGCTCTGGGCCTCGTCTTCCTCATGCACGTCTTCAAGACCTACGCATGCGCATACACAGGGTGCTCCAGCACAACGTGGGAAACACTACACAGCACTACACACTACACACTATACGAATACTACACTACGATAGACACTTAAAACTCTACAGTGCAGCACCAACACAAACACCACACAGCATAACACAAAGAGAAAAAAACCAACAAAACACACAAAAAAAACACCACCACAGGAGTAGCAATCGGTGCAATGCAGAGAGTGTGCTGAGGCGTAGGCTGTGAAGAGGCGTGGTCCCAATGGGGAGCAGGGGGTTCCCAGCAGAGGGAGGGGGGGTCCCAGCGTTGGCGGGGGGCCACGCAGAGGTGGGTGGGGGCGGCAGCGGGTTCGACCAGAGCGACACCTATGCGTCCGGCTCCCTGACACCCCTATTCCCTTTAGCCGCGCCAGCTCAGAGGCGAAGGACAAGACCACAACAAATGTTCACTTCTCGTACGCGAAGTCTCAATGCAGTTTTTACGTTTAAACCTACTCATTACATGAACGCCTACTGCTTATGGCTATTTAGTTGACGTAATTCGATAACATATTAATTAAAATAATAAATAACAAGTAATGTGTACATGAAGCAAAGGACACGATATTCATATAAATTCATCAACCATAAAGGATAATGGTCATTGACGTCAAAAAATAATTTGATGTCTGTGCACAACGCATTCCCAGAATGACACACACCACTACTAAGAAAAATCTTTGGCTGCAGCATCGACTTTTCAACAAATGTAAAAGACAAAAATTGTCGATTTTCAAATCGCTCGTTCGAGATTTTCAATGACAGATCATAACGCTGTTTTTTAAACTAAAATTTGGTCAAGTAATTTGTTTAAAGATTTACTTGAAAAGTAGTTTATGGAAAAAATATATCCCAAAACGATTCCGTGGTTAACAAATCAACTAGTGAAGCATTACTCTACGCAGTCACCCCATTTATTTACTAATATTGCCTTCACAGAGAAATTAAGCGTCGCATTAAAGATCAAATGCAAAGAGTAATGATCATGGAATTCAAAAATACCTACGTACATATGATCCACGTCCGGGTTGTATATCATTCGCAACATTTACTCATAAAGTGATATACTTGCGGTTCCGTATCATTGCAAAGATCGGTAAGTGTCAATTTTAAAATCGCCCATTTTGAGTTTTTTGCTAAAAAAATACTTCTCAGCCTTTCAAATGCAAGTCTTGCCAATCATTTTAGACTTCTTTTTAGCTTAAAAAAAGAAGAAATTCGCCGAGTTTTTAATTTTTTTTTCCTTTTACAAAAATGGCCCGCAGTAAAAAAAATCGGGGAGCTATCCCTCCCTTAGCTTTGTTAGGGTGCCGCCTCCCAACCCCAACGTCGAGCCAGGCGCTGAACGCTTACCGCGACCGGTGGTTTCCGAGTACCACATAAGAATTCTGCGTGGCCCGCTTCTCTTCAACAACATGTCTGGCGCCGACGGCCCAGCCACCGCGCTTCGGCGTTCGCGCACACACTACTGCCCCGGTGCACCGGCTAAGGAACGGCCGCGCACTGGAGAGGCCGCGCCTAAAAATAGCTCCGACAATAGGCCGCGCTATAAAACGCGTCCCACGCCGCCGCGACGGCCGCCGCGGTGGACGCCAGCGGTCCGAAGGCAGGAAGAGGAAGGGGCGTCGAGACACTTCCGGTAACTTGAAGAATCGATATTCTTTCATGCCACACTAATGGTTTCACTGTCCTGAAAGCTATATTAACTTTGAACCGGGACCAAAACGACAAGATCGATACTAGTACCAGTTTAAGGAAAAAAATACTGTGTTGAATTTTTTTTCAATTACTTGAACTTAATATTTACAACATAAGTAAATTTAACATTAAAATGGGTCCATAAATACAAAAAAATATTTAAATCCTTATTACGTATAAATTAATTTTAAACAAAATTAAAGTGCCTGAGTCATTTATTCGAATCAAATTTTAAACTCATCAATTTGACAGTCTTATGAAGTATTGTCCAATTTCAGTTTGTTTTACCTTACCCCGTTGAGAAAAAAGCAAATTAACGTAGATTAATTACTTTAAATAACAGTGGTCACGAAAGCATTGCTTTCATTATTTCATATCAATTTCAAATATATTTGAAAAATAAGACTGATACTGATGCAAATAAAACCCAAAGACAGTGGTTAATAACCATACTCAACGGCCCTCCGCATTTCTCTTTCGCCGTTCATGACATGATCATGTTCGCACAATCGGTACTTGCATGTCAACTTGCAGGTCCATTCGAAAGGTCCGGAAATCTCCCACAGAGCTACACAAATTCCGTTATCCATCGTAGACCCAGAATAAATTTCAAAGATACCCCCACTGCGCCTCGCGTGCAAGTCACGCGCGGTCGCCTCCACACGAGATGCGCGTGGATTAAAACGCCACGCACAGCCGGGAGCCGGCGGCTGGTCGAGGGCGTGGAGACGCCCCCTAGGTGGGCTAATGACGGAGAACGTGGCTCGAGGCCGGGGACGACACCTCCTTACCTGAGAGCCACTCAAGTAGAAGGGAGCTAATGGGAACCAACGGCGGCCAAAATGATTGGGCTATTGTTTGCTGTTGTTTTTTTTTCTGTTCGCAAGGACCAACCTTCCAGCCTCCGGCGCGGCGTCGTCACATCTTCAGGAAGAGACAAAATCGGAGATTTGATGATTTCTATTTGCGCCGTGGTAGTGGCTGCATTCGTTTTGCAGTACAATTGACTGTATGAACATGATAGGACAGGCCGATGAATGTAATGTTATCTAGTACTGACAAGAGGAATTACTAGGGCGATTACCAGTTCTAAAACTTAAGCTTTAGATTTGAGGTACTTTTTCGGGCCGCTAACTTGGAACGTGGTAGAACCGACTTTACTTCCCTTCTGGAGGGAGGAGGCAACGATCCCGTTCATGTGATAAATTTGTCATTGAAAACATATCCAGAATGTTTTGAAAAAACGTACTCTATAGTACCTAACTCTCTAACCTAACTGATATAAAATTGAATTTGACGCATTAGTTGGATTAGTTTAAATATCCGAACCTGTGAACAATTACTTCCAAGACGCTTGAAATTTACAGAAGAATATGCGAACTTTGGTCTTGTCCTTGCCAATTTATTTTAATACACTCCTCAAACCATAAAAGTCATTATCTTCAATAAAGTTATATTTAATATATATGTACAAATCAAAATTAGTTGAGGATATGATGTAATAACTTATTGTTTTTGCAAAAACAAAAAAACTAATGGTTATTTCGTTGGTACTTCAAATTAAAATTTTAATTTATACGAACGAAGAACAAAATAGATACGTATAACCTTGAATTATTTACAGGGTCGTTTGAAAGATCATCAGCTGTTACAGCGTCATTCCATCGGGAACTTAAACAACACTATGGTGAAGTTCAGCTCCCGACTGGATGACACCGTAAAAGCTGATAAACTGTCAAAGAACACTGTAACTAAATCGAAGTATAATTAATGAAAACATTTCTTTTGTGTTTTAAGGCGCGTACTAAAGGAGATTAATCAAAAATAATCCCGCATGACATATAATTTTAATTCAGTCTTAGGGTCTTGTGGCAGCAGCAGGCCCCCGCGCGGCCCAAGCGCCCACAGGCCAGGCAGCAGAGACACCCCGGTTGTTGGCCCAGGCCCCAGGTAGCGGGTGGGGTGGTGGAGGGCGAGGGGGG